TTTTTTGAGTTGGAGTCTCACTCTGTCACCCAGCCTGGAGTGCAGTGGCTGCTCCCAGCCTATTGGGCTCCAGCGATCCTTCCGCCTCAGCCTTCCAAGTAGCTAGAACTACAGGCGTATGCTACCATGCCCAGCTAATTTTTGATTTATTGTAGAGATGAGATCTCGCCAAGTTGCCCCAGGCGGGTCTCGAACCCGCGGGCTCGGGCAATCCGCTCACCTCAACCTCCCAAAGCGTGGGATTACAGGCTGAGCCACCGAGCCCGGCTCCACCTCAGCCTTTCAAGTAACTGGAACTACAGGTGCGTGCTACCATGCCTGGCTAATTTTTTTATTTATTGTAGAGACAAGGCCTGGCCAAGTTGCCCAGGCTGGTCTCAAACCCTGGGCTCTTGCCTTGACCTCCCAAAGTGCTGGGATTACAGGCCTGAGCCACTGCGCCAGGCCTAAATTCATATTTTAATGCCCTTACAAAATGTACCTCAGTTTCTTATAAAACTAACTAAAATTTTATATGATATTATGCTAAGATCCATATAAAGTCAACTTAAATTTACATATCCTCATTGGGCAGCGCATGTGTGTTTACCACCCAAAATCATCTGGGGTTCCACCATTTGAACAGGCACCACAGCTGGGGGAACATAAATTCACCAGACACAGCCTGGCTGTTCCTGTGTCTTTTTCTTCCTCAGCATGTTAGTTCATCAATCAGCCAAGTTATATGAGAGTAGAGACAGTATTCTCTACTGTAAAGGGTCTCATTTCTGAGCGCTCTCCTCAGCAGAGGAGACCAGAAGGTCCTCCTGGGGATACTCACTGGGATAAGCCCCTCAGGTGTGAGGGCTCTGACCAATAGGAATAGGAATAGATTTATTGGGGGCGTGGGGTGAGGCAGCCTTCTGAACCTGGAGCTCCATCACCTCTTGTCCCATCTCAAGACAATCCTGGGAGCTATCCTGAAATACGTCCGGAAGATGGAGGTTGGGAAGCAATGTGGGCTTCGATGCAACTCGAGTGAGGTCTGTTTTGAAGAAGCAGGTGGGTAATGCTCAGCATGTGGGCTGGTCTCCTTGTGGTCACTTGGGCGGCCTGTCTGAGTCCAAGTCCATTTTCAGTAGGGAGGAGGCTAGAGCGTCTGGATGAGACCCATATTTCGTCTCTGACTCTCTATGAGGGTGAGGTCTGAGAGGTGAGAAATTCTGGAAAGTCTACGTGGGACCCTGGGAAGACTTTTTGCCTGGTCCCTGAATGCTTACTTTGGCCACATACATGCTTGGCAGCCAGAGATCTGGGTTTGCATTCACCTGAGCACGACCTTGAACCAGAGGTTGAAGTGGTCAGGACAAGGGACTTAGTGGAAAGCTGGGGAAAATCATAAGAGCAAACTTCAGGCTTGCTGGCTGTCTCTTTGGAAGTGAGTTCTGAGTCCTGGCCAAAGGGTCTGGGTGCCACATGGAGCCCATCAATAAACCCACCTCCCATCCTTTAACTGTCCATAAGGTGGCAGGGAGACCAGGTCCTGTCTTGAAGCGAGGCTCTGCCAGGTGAAAGAATCACATGTCAGGTTTCTTGACAGCTGGTTCACTTGTGAGAACAGATCCAGGGAAGATCGATTTTTGGATGTGTAGATGGGCATCAGCCTGCTAGGATGAAGTGAGTGAGACGGCATTCAAATACAACATGTTAGAAACTCCTGACAAGAATGTGTAAAAACACGCCAGCATGGTGGCTCACAGCTGTAATCCCAGCACTTTGGGAGATCAAG